GTCCCTTCCGACCTTAGAAACTATGAAACTATGAAACTATACCATGCTCTGAAGAGTCCTCTTTCTGTATTGTCATAAGCAACAGAATGCTGATGAGACTTCAGAACTTAGAAATGAAACTTTGTTGAAATATTGGTAGTGCATAAAGTAACTTTTGTGCTGAAAACTCAGAAAAACTAATTGCAATACCTGTACTAACCTGAAAGAGGCATTGAGGTAGCAGAATCGATGGTTTTGTACATGGAATGATGAGACAAAAGAGTCATTTTAGTACAACTCTATATCTGCTATAAAAGGACAGTTTTGCCAGGAGGAAAAAAAGAACAGACAAATAATTCATTCCTCAATTTATCAATCTTTATTAAGGAGAGAATATACAATAATTAGATGCCTTTTGAGAGTTTATGAGTGTGCATGGCAACGTAAAATTTGTACAATATTTTGCTATCTAAAAACTTGACAGTTGCCATTTGGAAATGGAATTAAAATCACCATGACATTTATGGTATTCCAATGCTTTGAATAAATTTAGAATATACAATTGTGTGCTGAAGTGGCTCTAATACCATGGTAACTAAAAATTTACCAGGGTATAAGGGAAAAAAAATTCTTTGATTGACATAACATTTTCAACATTATTTCACAATTGATAGAAATCTGTCATGTACATATGATAGGTTGCAGGGGCTGTAATCCAAATTTTGATACACACAAATATGGGAATATTTAATTGAAAATGGTGAAAAGGTAAATTTCTTCAAGATAAGACATACAGGCTTATAGTTTATGAATATATTTGTAATTATAAAGTCCATTTTCTGACTTCCAACCACAGAATGGACAGACATAAAATTTATATATTAGATTTGACTGCTGTTGTAAATATAGTTGACATTTTATTTTTAAGTCACACTGATGGTTATTTTCATACAGTTCCAATTCATCATTTACAGTTAAACCCAATTAATTTGATTGGCAGATTTTGTTTCCCATTGGTCCCTGTCAATGTTATATTGCTAGAAATACTTTGAGACTATTTTAAAAACGTTCCTTTGTCTTGGTTTGTTTGGGGTTTTCTTCAGCCGCTGGACTGGAAAAAAATGATCTGTTGCTTTCATACATGTCATTCCTTTGTAGAATGTAATCAGTCCATCAGAAACATGTGCTCATCAGCATTGTCTTGTGCAACAAAATGTATGTTCGTAAAAAGGAGATGGAAAGCAGTGCTGCACTTCTGATCTTTGGCAAAAAAGTAAATGTTATGTTACTTCCCTATGTTGTCATTCAGATGGGAAAATACAGAGCTAGCTTTTGGGATTTGGAAGTTAAGCACATTTTGATCTGCACTTAAACTGCTTGCCCGAGAAAATGACTTAATTTAGGCCCCTGGCAGATATTACCATGACTGCACAATTAGGTTCAGAGGAATTTTATGCCCAATTCCAAAAATCACAATTCCTGCACTATGTACATGCCTGTTACCTGCAGGCTGCCATGTTCAAAGGGTGCATGTGTTAGGGCCTCCGGTCAAGGAGCCCAGCCTTGGTTAATTGCCTAGGGAGCCATACCTACCTTGAGTCCCTGCTGTCAAGGTCTTCTCCAGCTAATTAACTGGTTGGTTTCCTGATTGGCTCCTGGGCGCACTACCTGCCTATTTATCCCTATTTAGGGCAGCAGACTTCCAGGCTAGCCAACAGTTCTGACCCCAGTCTGTTTTGGCAGATCTCCTGGATCCTGTGCTCTTTGGCTTTCCTGGTTCCTGACCTTGGTTTGGCTCTGTTCTCAGACTTTGACCCATGGATTATCCCTTGGACCTGGTAACTTGGTATCTGATTCCCAGACCCTGACCTAGGGCTGTGTTTTGGACTCTGTCCCTTTCCTCCCGAACTTGGTAATTTAGTGCCCAAATTCTGACCCAACCCCTGACCCTTGCTTTCCCTCAGTGGCAAAACCATTAGGCCAGAATGCCTGTGACCTAGTCCCTAACAGCACGTGCATAAGGGTGGCATGTACAGCTTCTGGATGCCTACATACCATGTGCTCAAAATTAAGCATAATATGTTTTATTGTGTTGTAAATATCTTGCATGTGTGGCATGTTGCCATTTAACTGGCATGTTGCTAGTTAATTGCATGATAACATGTTAATTGTGTGATGCATATAACAACTGCAGGGGCCTTATAATTACAAATGTAATGCACATATGACCACAGGCACTGCAACAAAATAATAAATAGGTAATGACATCATGGAAATGTCAGATAATGCTGATATTATCTAAGTATCAATATTTTCTTGGTGGTCCCCAATGACTAGGATGATTGACTCCATCAAAGATGCTTATAGAATCAATAACTACCTTGGAAAATCTGACTAAGATCTGTTTTATACCCTGGCTACCTTTTACAATAGTGAAGCAGCTGGAATGATAATAGTGCTATGTTGCAACTTAAAACCTGGGACTGAGTCTATTATATTGTATTTACCTGAATCGAATATGACTTTGAATTTAAGACAACCCTCCAATCATAAGATTCTACACATGGAAAAATTATAAATTTGTTACATGGAAAATTGCATAGAATCTAATGATTAGAAGGTCATCTTAAATTCATAGCCCCACTGGTGCACTGGGGCAAGATGTAGTGGGCAGGTGGTAGGGGATTCAAGTGGCCTAAACTCTGCCATTTGCTGCCATTGCTACCTGCCCCACATCTGGTGCCTGTGTGCCCCAGTGACTGCACCCCTACCACTTCCCCACTCTCCCACCTTGTCCTCTCCTCTGTGGTGCCTGCATCCCCTGGCATATGACCTCCCACTTGCTACCCCATCCTGCCTACCCCCCATGATGTCTGCCACCACCACTTTGTCCCCCATTCTCCCTGACTCTTGCTGCCACCTCTGGCCTCCCCATCTCCCCTCTTCCTCTCCCCCTCCTGCTACTGTTGCCTATGCTCTGGCTTCAACTCCTACTTTGGTCTGGCATGTGGAGCATGTGGTCACTCCAGCACCTGCCCATCCAGGCAGCAGTGATTGCAGCAGCAGCATTGGACCTGGCTGAAGCCAGAGATGGAGCTGCCTTGTGCCTAGGTAAAGGTTGGAGCAACCATGTGCTCTGGGGCCAGAGCTGGAGGGTAAAGTGGTAGCATGAGGTGGGAGCAGGGGCTACAGGTGGCTGATGTGGGGGACAGGCTGGAGCGGAATAGAGGCTACAAGGGAAGGAGGTGGCAGTGGCAGTGGGGAGGGAGTGAGAGTAGGCAACAACAGCAACGATTTTGACTCTAAGCCTGGGTCATAGTCTAAGCCACAGCAGCCATCAACTCCCTGTGACCCCATCCCACCCAGTTGTACTTGAATCTAAGATGAGGGCATGTGTATGTGTCCCTGCCCCCCTGCATGTTAAATACAGGAAAAAAACTCATCTTGGATCTGAGTAAATACAGTAGGTTCTGTGATCTTTAGTTAAATGTCATGTTCTTGAAAGTAGACACTATCTACCTTTACATCTTTAAAACACTTACTTTTTTTTAAATCTTGTCTTTTCTGGACAGATACAATAGCACTTTCTGGCTTTGTTATACCACTTGGAAACAGTAATTGGCAGCCAGAGAACACTGCCCAGTTCACAGAGTGTTTGTAGCTGTCTTGCTGCAGCAGAGCAATGCAAAACATCTTCCCTCTACTTTTCCATGACTCCTGTAGCTCCCTACAGTTTCCTGTTTATGTGAATCTCAGATTTGCCCTCTTTCTTGCCTCCATATCCTTCTGGCCTATCCACTCTCCTGTATACTAGTGTCTCCCATTTCCTGCCCTTTATGTAGGTGGATCTAATGTAAAAAGTAGCTTTTGAGGGAAAAAAAATGGAATAATTGTTTTTGCTAGTAATTTTCACAACTCAAAGTTTATATCTTTAAAAAGAAGCTGGTGAAAAAAATACCGTCAGAGAAACCAAATAATTATTTAAAGAAATACTCTAACATTGTTCTCAGTGGGAATGAGGTTACAGTCTTCTCTCAGTAAAGATATTCTTTTTAAAGCCAGGAAATCATCTCCCATTACTCTCAATGTCTGCTTAGAATAACTCAGAAAAGAGGAGGGAACTGCTCCCAGATGGTGGTCTCCTAAGCATTCATGAGATGGAAAAGAGCACCGAGTCCTATGGACAATTGTGGAGGGTGTATGCCTTTCTCAAATGACCAAATGACAATGGTATTAACTACGTCTTAGACCCTTTGCAGACAATAAGTGGCTGTACTTTTGAAAGAGCCATTTTTCATATAAATGTCTGTAGTTGAATGTTATTCTTCTACCTCTTCTTTAGGAGGTATATATAATCAGGAAAAATTACATTACTCTTTAAAAAAGTTCCCCAGATATAGCTTATGTGATTTTAATGAGTTTTACCTATAAGACAAGTTTGAGGACTTTATATTACTATTATCCACAAAATCAACACCAGGTGTTTAATTTCTTAAAGGACCATTTTAATTATTAGCTCCTAAACTAATTAACAGTTTTACATATTATATTATCTGAAAATTCATTTTGTACACGAAGGAACACACACACTGTAATTTTTGTACATCATGAGATTGAATTTCTACTTCATCCTTAACTGCAGAGGAGCAACTGATTGTTCCATAGTATTTGCATTCCTGGACAGAAGATGCCACAGCTTGATAACATCAGGATAAAATTAAGTAGAAAGCAACTAATATTTGGAAAAAGTACTAACTATAATATAAGTTGCAACCATTACTAAATTTTGAAAACAAAAATTAAGACAACCATTTACAAGAGAAAAAGAGTTGAGGGTAAAAGAGTAGATAGATAGGCACTAGGCAGATGGATCTTGATGGGCCAGTTGGCATCTTGGAATCATAGAGAATTAGGGTTGGAAGGGACCTCAGGAGGTCATCTATTTCATAGATTTCATAAACAGTAGGGCTGGAAGGGACCTTGGAAGATCATTGAGTCCAGCCCCCTGCCCCAGGGGCAGGAAGTCATCAGGGGTCATAGGATCCCAGCAAGATAAACATCCAAATTTCTCTTGAAGGTGTTCAAAGTAAGTACTTGAACCACCTCCGGTGCAGTCTATTCCAGACCTTGGAGGCTCAGACTGTAAAAAAAAGTTCTTCCTTATGTCCAGCCTGAAATGGTCCTGAAAGAGTTTATGACTCTTCATCCTTGTCATCCCCCAGGGTGCTCTGGTGAACAGATGATCCCCCAGATCCTGGCAAGCACCCCTGATAAACTTCTAGGAAGATAAACTCTAGTCCAACCTCCTGCTCAAAGCAGGACCATCCCCAACAAGATCATGCCAGCCAAGGCTTTGTGTAACTGGGCCTTAAAAACCTTCAAGGATGGGGAGTCCACAACCTCTCTGGGTAACCTGTTCGAGTGTTTTACTCCCCTCCTAGTGAGAACATTCTTCTTAATATCTAACCTAAACTTTCCTTGCTGCAACTTGAGACCATTGCTCCTTGTTCTGTCATCTGCCATCACTGAGAACAATCTAACTCCATCCTCTTTCAACGCCCCGCCCATCTCAGGTAGTTGAAGGCTGCTATTAAATCCCCTCCCAATCTCCTCTCCTCTAAACCAGTTAAGCCCAGTTCCCTCAGCCGCTCCTCATAAGTCATGCCCCCTCAACATTTTCATTGCCTTCTGCTGGACTCTCTCCAATTTGTCCACGTCTTTTCTGTTGTGGGGGGCCCAAAACTGAATACACTACTCCATATGTGGCCTCACCAGTGCTAAATAGAAGGGAATTATCACTTCCCTTGACCTGCTGGCAACACTCCTACTGATGCAGCTCAGTATGCCATCAGTCTTCTTGGCAACAAGGGCACACTGTTGGCTCATATTCAGCTTATTGTCCACTGTAACCCCCAGGTCCTTTTCTACAGAGCTGCTGCCCAGCCAGCCAGCCCACAGCCTGTACTGGTACAGGACTTTGCACTTTTTGAACCTCATGAAATTCCTTTTGGCCCAATCCTTTAATTTGTCTGGGTCACTCTGAACCTTAGCCCTACCCTTCAGCATATCTACTACCCTGCCCCAGCTTGTGTCATCTGCAGACTTGCTATGGGTACGCTATATGCTATCTTCCAGGTTGTTGGTGAAGACATTGAACAAAACCAGCCCCAAGACTGAACCCTGGGGCACTCCACTTGAAACCAGCTGCCAACTAGACATCCAGCTATTGATTACTATTCTCTGAATCCAATGTTTCAGTCAGTTTTCTATTCACCTTACAGTCCATTCATCCAGCCCATACTTTCTTACCTTGCATGTAACAATGTGTTGGGAGACCGTATCAAGAGCCTTGCTAAAATCAAGGTACATCACATCCACTAGTGTTCCTGCATCCACAGAGCCAGTCACCTTGTCATAGAAGGCAATCAGGTTAGTCAGGCATGACTTACCTTGGTGAATCCATGCTGACTGTTCCTCATCTTCTTCTCCTCCAAGTGCTTAGAAATGGGTTCCTTGAGGATCTGCTCCATGACTGTTGCAAGGACTGAGGTGAGGCTGAAAGGTCTTTAGTTACCAGGATCTTTCTTTTTCTCTTTCTTAAATATGGGCACTATGTTTGCCCTTTTCCAATCATCTAGGACCTTTTCTGATCATTATGAATTTTCAGAGATTATGGCCCAAGGTTCTGCAATCTCATCAGCAAAGTCCTTTGGCAGCCTCGGGTGCATCCCATCTGGCCTCGGGAGCATCCCAGCCAAATCCCTCAGCACGCTCAGGTGCGTTCCATCCCATTTGGCACCATTTCTGGCTGTATCTATCCAGCTTTTCTAAATAGTCCTTACTCTGTTCTTTTGCCACTGTTGCTCACCTCCTCCCCAGATTGTGCTGCCTGGTACACTAGTCTGAGAGCTGACCTTACCTGTGAAGAGAGAAGCAAAAAAATCATCAAGCACTTAAGCCTCTTCTGCATCCTCTGTCACAAGGTTGCCTCCCCCATTCAGTAAGGGGCCCACACTTTCCCTGATTTTTCTCTTGTTACCAACCTACTTGTAAAATACTGTGTCAATAGCTTGCCTATCAGTATCCTGGTGACAGAATCAATAGTGACACAAATGTAGCTCTGAAGTGGGGCTTGTTGACAAAGTGGACTAATATATTATTTTGCTTTTAAGGCTCATACTCAAATCTTCATTAGAGTCCAAGAGAAATTAGTTGTGTTAGGGTGACAATATTTGGATCTTTGGGTGCACTGGGTTTGCAGCTACATATAAGGCTTCAACCTGTGGCCTAGCAGAGCTGCTAACCACAAGGCAGAATGATAGCTATGCCAGCCATTTGCTTATGATAAGTAACCATCTTAACTGTGTTAACCATCTTTCTGAAAAAGCAGCAAGAGAGTCTGTGTGAGTCTATGTGCTGTGAACGAGGTAAAGTTTTAGGAATGTGGAAGATGGTACAACCTGAGACTAAAAAACAGACTGAAATGTGAAAAACAACACGTAATTGGTAACAGAATCCGAGATGAACAAATGCAAAAAGGTGAATGGTGATTGGTGAAGAAGACTCCAGAAGCTTCCAGGTTTTGGTCAAAGTCCATCCGTTGACCAAAGAAGAGAAGTTAAGATCTTAGACATGCACTCATAGCAAAAAGGCATGTAAATAAGTAATATGCATAGGCAATTCCATGCTAATGAAGCAAACAGTAAACATAGGTGGAGCTTGGGAGAGGAGGTGAAATGGGTGGAACAAAAGGAGGAGTGAATGTTAATGAGTATAAACCAAAGGGAATAAATGTGGGAAAAAACTATTGTCACTGCTGCTCGCTGTGTCCATAGACTGGGTGTCTGTGGGGGAGCTCACCTGAAGCTGTCTCCATTCTAAATAAATGTGTTGTGAGCAATGTGTGCAAGCAGCATTTTCTCTCTGTCTTCTCTGGCTAATGAGTAACAGGACCCATGAGTGATTAGATCATCTTCTCCCTAGTCATTGGGTGCTGCATAGTCAGAGTCTAACAAGTTGTATCATTTCAACCATGTGTGGTCATTCATCTGTCTTTGCTCAGGAGAAGGCAGGATGAGAAATAATATGAATGTTTAAGGTAAAGGAGAATGGAAGAGCTGTGTTGGGAAGTTTTATTACTCCTTCCATTCCTGGCTATTGCCAGTGCTAACCCTCTCATTTCTCTGAAGTTGCTGTCTCAGAATTATTTACTATATGAACAATAATAATAATCTGTGATTTTTTTTAAGTCATCAGGCTAAGAACATCTTTCTCAACAGCAGTCTCTCAGTATTCCTCATTCTTCTAGTAAGGAGAGATTTCATCAGTGAATCCATAGATGACTGAGGATGTCAGCCTGAGATCCAGATGCTCAACTGCTGATGCAGCAAGTGATTCCAGGAAAAAGGACTAGATCCTAGTGATGCTGAGTCACAGCTTTGTGCCTCTTGTCTACATGCCACCACAGTGAAGTGAGTTTGCTCAGAATGATTGATGGCTTGTTGCCAGTACTGTTGGAGACAGTTCAGTGATTGAGTCTTCCTGGTATTGGTGTCACTATCACAGTTCTTCAGATTGGCCTTCAAGGTGTCTTTGAATTTCTTCTTTTGCCCACTTCTAGAGCTCTGACCTCTGACTTGGGAGTATAGGACCTGTTTTGGGAGCCACTTGTCAACTATCCTTATGGCATGTCCTGTCTAATGGAACTTATGCCATACAAACGTGATTTCAAAGCTGTGGTGTTTGCTTGAAGCAGAATGCTGGCATTTTATTCTTCTGTCCTTCCAACCGATGTGGAGGATTGCCCAAAGACATCACTAACAGTAACATTCCAAAGCTTTCAGATGTTGTCAGTATGTCAAATAAGTTTCACTTCCATACAACAGGATAGAGGTGGCAATACTTGGTAGATGAGAAGTTTGTTTTGGGTCCTGGTGTTACTGGTCATTGAAGACACAGTTTTGGAGATTCCCAAAGGAAGCACTATCAGATTTTATCCAGTGTTGAATATCACTCGTCTGTTTACTTTTTGGTAAAAGTGGCTACACTGGTAGTGGAAATGCTCAACATTATCCAAGTGTTGCCCTCTAATTGTAACATGTGGAGCAGCAGCTGGTTGGTTTAGGGTGGGTTGGTAAAGTTGCTGGTGAATCCAAGCATTTCATGTACTTCAGAGACACAATCAAGGCTAACCTGGAGCTTTTCAATAGAGTAGTCACAGACACTTTCTTCAGTGGGTTGAAGATCAGTAAAGTGTTGGTTATCTTGGATTTGGAATGTCACAGGTTGATGATGGAGGATCTTGTCCATACAGTACCAGCTACTGACTCCAGATGGAAGTCTATCAGCAAACAGATGTGGAATAGCTGTGATATAGATGGAAAAGAGTGTTAGTGCAGTCACTCACCCTTGTTTGATTCCTCTTCTAATGGTGAAAGGCTCCATTTCTGGGCCATTGCTTAAGGAAGTTGCTGTCATGTCATTATGGAGAAGTCTGATAAAGGTAATACGTTTTGGGCATTCAAATCTCATCTGGATCTTCCATAGAGTTTCTCAGTTGATTGAATCAAAGACCTTAGTCAGGTCAATGAAGGTCATGTAAAGGTCTTGGTGTTGTTTGTGGCATTCTCCTGAAGCTATTTAATAACAAAGATAATATGTATTGTATCTCTGAGTGGTCTGAAAACACGTTGGGACTCAAGTAGAATCTCCTCCATGAGGAAGATGAGTCTATAAAGGAATACGTGGGCAAGACGCTTTCTACCTATGAACAGAAGTACAATACCACAATAATTGTTCCTATATGATCTATCTCCCTTAAATACAGTAACAATTCTGGCATCTACCAAGTCAGTGGGAATCTGTTCATGTTCCCAGATTTTCATAATAATAATAATGTGTAGGTGGCAAGAGAGCTTTTTTCCACCTTGCTTATAAATTTCAGCTGCTATTCCTTCAAGACGATGTGAGTTGTTGTTCTTCATCAGTTTAATGGCTTCCAAGGCCCTTTGGTAAGCTCTCCTAGTGATCGGTGGTGTCAGGATCATCAGAGATGTCAGAGACTTTCTCACAGATGCATTGCTTGAGATGATCGTTTTAGCAGTGTCTTTCAAAGACTTAATATTGAACCTCTTTCTTGGTTGCTGCTTTTGTTTACATCATTTTTGGGGCAAGACAAATGAACCTGATGGAAAATATCAAATGATGGTGAGCAGTCATCTGTGCTGGTAATAGCTCTGGTAACATGGAAGTTATGACAGTAAGGAGCACACCCTATGACGTATTCAGTCAGGTGCTAGTGTTTGGAGTGGGGGTATTCATGTTGTCTTCAATTTATTGCTTTGGTGGAATATGGAGCTTGTGATGATGAGAGTATGTTCCAAGTACTTGGTCATTTTAACATTTTAACTGACCTTCCATAGTTCAGAGTCCCTGCTCATTTAGCAATGAAATCATTACCAAGAAGAATTAATTTATCTTCTTTGGAAACTGTTATCAGGACTTGGTTGAGTTTAGAATATGTTTCATCATCTGCATCAGGAGTCAAAGCATATGGACTCATGATGGTAGCTTGTTGTCTGTTAGTCAGTTGAAGACAAAGGATCAGGAGAAACTGATTGATCTGTACAAGCGAGTAAAAATCCTGGTCTTGATAGCACAGCCAGTATGGTTAATGTGTCTGTCTTTCTATCTTTTCCTTTCTAAAAAAGAGGGGTAGCCACCATTATGATCTGAGCTGGCCCTTTACTGTGTGTCTGGTCTCACTAAGTGCAGCAATGTCAATATCAAATCAGACAAGTTCTCTGGCCACAAGTGCTGTCCTTCACTCAGGTCAGTGCCTGTTAGGGTTCTCCATCAGGGTGTGGATATTCCAGGTTACAAACTTCATTACTTGATTTAGACTACAGATAGAGTGATCCCAACTGGACACTGTTTTCCAGTCAGATAAAACAAAACAGACTGTTTAGAGTATCCTTTCTAGCCCCCTCCCCTACAGGGTGAGCCAAGTAAACCCTAGGTAGTCTTGCTTAGTCATGATTGCCGATGCTAAACTGTACACCTCTCTCAGTTCCAAGTACAAAACAAACACCATACAATCATTACTTCAGTATAGGCCCACAACTAGGCACTTCTGGTTATCATTAGCACTTGCCCCTTCACCAGTTGCCATAGGAGTTACTACTGAAGGGAAATGCCTCTGCATGCCTTCTTTTAAGGTGGGGTTACCATTGCCATCATCAACCACATGATACTTCATGGGAAGGAAACCTTAATCTGATGGCAAGTAAAACCTAGAAGACTGGAGGTTTATATTCTGCTGTAGCCTTTTATCACTTTTGCAACTGTTGTAAAATATTCTTTCTTTGTTTATCTGTTCTGCTGTTGAGGACTTTTATTTTTTTGGTTTGCTGCTGGTCCAAAAACTTCACTTTCGACCTTTCTGCTGTATGTGACCATATCAGAAGTATACAACTCCATGTGACATCACTTCCTGAGTCATTAGTAGCACACAAGCCTTGCCACCATGTCAAGGTTGCGGTCCTTGGGAGAAGAAGCTATGATATGCCATATTTGAATAAAAAGTATTGAAAAGTATTTTTTCTAAGCACCTTCTTTATCTTGTTTCATTTATAGCCATGCAGGTAACAAATCAATTATTGTGATTCAAATTAATGACATGATGCAGAAATAAAATTAAACTAGGGATATTTCTAAAGTTTTATTTCCTATGAACTCTATTCATCATGGTTTTGTCCACTGTACTAGAATGTTTATTTCCATGTGTCCTCTAAGTATAATTCATGGCACTACAAAAAAGGGCATACAAAGGCATAGATATATCTCTGGCAACCATTCAACCAAATAACAAAAATGCCTGCTATGAGTTGAGATCTCATTTGGAAATGACAGACAAGAAGGAAGGTATGGGCATTTTAGGTGATCATAGGAAGACCATAAGTTATCAGAGTGATGCAGCCATAAAAAAAAGCAAATGTGACCTTAGATACAACATATGAGTTTCCAGTAGAGAGGGCTGAATACTAATACTGCTATATAGACCTTGATAAGACCTCATCTCAAATAGCAGAGAAAGGGTTTTAGACACCCATGTGTTTGAAAAAGGTAAGCTTGCACTAAAATAGAGGAAGAAAAGGCTATTAGGATAAGAGGAATGCAGAGGTTGTGTTATAAGAGACTGAAAGGGATTGATACATTTACGAAATTGAAATGAAGACTGAAATAAGATATGATAGCTGTGTATGAGAACATTAAGGCAGTAAACACCAAAAATGGAGAACAGCTACTTAAGCTAAAGAACAAAGTTGGCAATAGAACAAATGGCCATGGACTGGCCGTAAATGATTGGAAATGGTAGAAGAAGGAGTGAGATTCTAGAACGACCTTACAAAGAGAGCAGTGAGACAAACAACTGACATAGCTACATATGTTAATAGAAAGGATTGTATTACATGGTTGCTTGCAGTAACAGGAGTCTGGGCTTTGTGACACAAAGGACCCCTTCCAGTCCCATGTTCTTATCAGTTTCGAGTCTTTACCCAAGAAAGTTTTCTCAACAAAGCCCAGTTGTGCTAGCCAAGAAAAGACTACCCTATGTGGAATGAGACAACCTTCTTTACTCAGATTAAGAGTATGGACAAAAGCAACATCCATATCATTCCAAGTGCCCTAAATTTATTTATAATGCCACCTAGTCAGTGGCAGGCTTATCTCAGGTCCTGCTTTTACTGAGCACTTTTTACCAGGAAAGAGTCACCCTGTGACTGACACCAAACCCTCACATCTTCCCAAAACTCTAACCCCTCATACAGCAAGCAGAATACAAATCTGTGTGTGTGTGTGTGTGCGCGCACACACGCACACGCACACATGCACGCACATACACTCACACGCAGCTTGTGCTTTCACAGATCCCTGTACAGAATGCTCCATCTGAGACTCACCTGATTACACCTCGTTGGCTTTGGGACACTGTGGGCACATCTATATGAGACATTTACTGTGGAGTTGCTTAATTAGCTCTGCGGTAAAGTCTCAGTGTCTACATGTGTAGCCCTATTAGGCCATAGTAAACTAATTAACTCCACTGTAGTTTAGCACTCATAAAGTTAGAGCCTGTGATCAGGAAACCTGCACTAACTGTTTGAAGAAAGCCTCCTCCAGTTCATCGTCCTGGTCTGGTAATCTATATGAGACCCTCCACCATGATATCACCCTTGTTGCTCACTCCTCGGATCCTAACCCAGCAACTTTGAACAGGCCAATCTCCAGTTTCATACTGGAGCTCTGAGCAATCATGCAGCTTTTACGTAAAGCACAACTATTCCGTCTCTTCTCTCCTGCCTGTCCTTCCTGAACAGTTTATGCCCATCCATGACAGTGCTCCAGTCATGGGCGACTAGTGATGCCTTAGTGGGGGGGAAGGGGGGGCATGTGCCCCCCCGCAACCAGTCAGAAACCAGGGAGAGGGTCCCCCTGAGGCCAATCTCACTGACTGGGGGTGGGGGTACAGCTGATCACTGCGGCTACTTCTGGACGTGCTGGCACCCCTCTGGCCAGTGATTGCAGGAGGGGCGCTGGTGCTGCTGCCTGTCACCACTGCCCATTGCCTAAGCGCCAAGTGCGGCCAGTCAGGGGCTGCATCAGTGCTCTCAGAGGGTGCATCCACATGAGCACATACATGCCTCTTGACCCACCTCAAACCCCTTTGAGGGAG